TTCCATAATGGTGCTTAACCTAATTATAGTTATACAGTATTGAGTTTGATTCTCTAGTCAAAATAACTTTGTCCACTTGGTTATGGACTAGAAGATGAACTTTAATTACCACTTTATTTATTTTTATTATTTCATATGAGACATGTCTATCTGGCCAGAAATTTGACCTAGGAACAATACTTCATGATAAATTCTTCATGAATGCTGATAGTTGCTTTAGAAGAGAATAACTCATTATTAAGACAAAGATTTTATTCTTTTAGTCTCATTTCTTTCTTTCTCTCTTTCTTCTTTAAGAAATGGCATAACAAACTTTTATCATGATAATAGGAAATGGAATTAGTTTAGCTATGTATTTTTAACAGGGAAATGGGAAAATCAACAGTTTCACAGGATACATATTATTAAAATATTCTTCAACCTCACATAAAGCAAAACAGAGAGGATTTTTAAGAATAAATGATATTTGAGTGTTTATATTCCATATAATAAACAATTTGGTAATATCCAAGAAAATGTGGAATCTCTATAATTGATATTTTAAAAGAGGGCAGGTTCAAGAATCATAAGAAAATGAATTGAAAAGTTTGGCACTACAATTTCTAATTTTACAAACTGGAGCATATTTCTGCATATCAATAAAAAAGAAATCAATTAGAATTTTGAAGTTGCCTGTCTAGTATTTTTTTCTGCATCCACACCATTACCTTGCTCAGAAGATAATAAAATTGCAAGAGTGATTTTCCAGCATTTTGAAAATATGTATGACATAATGTAAAAATAAATAGAGTCATTCCAAATATTGACTGAAATTATGCATATTCTGTGTCTAAAATGAACAGAATACCTAATCTTTTCTCCCTTGTAAATTTAGGAGCATGTTGTTTTAAATTGAATACTTTAGAGCATATAAGAATATAATTTATGACAAATCAATTTAAGTATCATTCATTCTTACCAACAATGAATCAAACATTGGGATATAACTTTAATATAAGAAGCTGTTTTTGATAGTTTTTTAAATTGAACAAAAAATATGCATGCGAAACAGTTTTAAACTGATTTTAATTTTATAATAAAGAAAAAAGATCACTCTAATTTTGGATACCTCATAAAATTTACATGAATTCAGCTTTACATTTTGTTCAGTTCTATTATTTTCCACTTAGAAAATGCCAATAAAGTGATAATATATTATTTGATATTTATATCTTTTAAAGATGTCAAAATGATAACAAAGTTAAAAATAATTATTTTTCTAAAGCACATCAGAGACATTAATTGAACTGCAGTAGTAAAAATGATTTTTTCAAACCATTGTTTAATAACCATATGTTTTACATGTAGTTAATAAGTTACAGGATTGCACTTAATCTTAAGAAATCATTCATTTGCAATATTGGGCTGTCTCATTAGACAGAATTCTGTCTTATGTTTGTTTAAAGATTGATAGTGTCCTCTACATGAGGAAATCTTCATGCCATATTACCAATTTCAAAGATATATGACAATTAAGGGAGACAATTGGTTATAAAATGAATTTTGATAAAAACAAATTATTCCTTTTGCTATAGATAAACAAGCACCAGAATGTGGAATCAGTGGTTTAGATATGCACTTATGTTTCTAAAAACTTAGTGGTCAAAATAACTGTTACTGTGTTAATTTAATAATGAGCATAGTCCTTGGCTTTTAAAAGTTCAGAGAAATAACATCTCACTATATAATTCTTCACAACCTCACTATATAATTCTTCACATACTATCAATTACTCCTTGGTTTCTTAATTTACTTACCAGCTCTTTGTCATGGATGCAAGTTCTTTTTATAAAAGCTGATGAGTAACTTTCATGTGGCGACATATAATCACCTGCACAAGATTCTAGTTCTCAGTTGATTTGTGAACCTTTTTAAAGCTTATGTACATCAGCCTTATTAAAGGCTACTTAAACTTTAAGCTTGAAAATACTCTCAGAAACAAAGATGATATTAATATTCATTTGAGGAATATTTTATAGGAGTCTTTTATTTAACATTGACAATAATTACTTCCTTGAAAAATAAGCAACAAAGTTTCAACCCAACATGTACTTTTGGCGTGATATCAGCAGGAGTTTTGCCAAGTGAAGGATATTTGTATTCTTTTATTTGTGTAGCTTTTCCAGCTGTGTGTCACTCACTTAAAGAAAAGTTAACTCAAAATGGATCAAGGAGCTTGATATCAAATCAGAGACACGGTGTCTGATACAAGAAAAAGTTGGCTACGATCTACATACTGTGGTGTCGGGCTCCAAATTCCTCAATAGGACACCCATAGC